CCAGGCCGGGCGCAGTGGCTCACACCTGTAATCCTAGCACTTTGGGAGGTCGAGGTGGGCAAATCACGAGGTCAGGAGTTTGAGACCAGCCTGGTCAACATGATGAAACCCTGTCTCTACTAAAAATTCAAAAAATTAGCCAGGCATGGTGGCAGGCACCTGTAATCCCAGCTACTTGGGAGACTGAGGCAGGAGAATTGCTTGAACCCGGGAGGCGGAGGTTGCAGTGAGCCAAGATCGTGCCACTGTAGTCCAGCCTGGGTGACAGTTCAAGACTCAGTCTCAAAAAACAAAAACAACAAACAAAAAATATATATATATACATGTATATATATATATATATATCCAAAAAAGAGTTCCTGATCTTCCCCCCAAACATGGTCGTCCCATACCCATCCCCACTTCAATTCCTGCACCTCCAGCCTTGCAGGTGCTGAGGCTACAGACCTTTCAGTCTTCCTTTGTCTTCACAGCCCCATCCAGTTCTTCAGGAAATTCTGTCATTCCATCTTGAAAGAATACACAGAACCCACCCACTTCCCCTGCCCCACATTGCCACCCAGGTTCTGCCTACCCTCACCTCACCTCCCCTGGGACCATCACAGCACCTCCCCACTGTCCCCCAGCTCCCCCTCCTACCCCCATAGTCTAGTCTCTTTCCCAGGAGAATCTGGAGGGAGCCTGTGAATGAATGACTGAGTCAAATCATGTTCCTCCCTCCTCTGTTCAAACCCTCCTATGGCTCCACACTCAGGGCAACAGCCAAAGTCAAGGAAAGGAAGAAAGGCTGCAGAGGAGTCTGCCCTGCCCTGCCCAGCTCAGTGTTTTTGTTTGGAGATGGAGTCTTGCTCTGTTACCCAGACTGGAGTGCAGTGGCATGATCTTGGCTCACTGCAACCTCAGCCTCCCGGGTTCAAGCGATTCTCCTGTCTCAGCCTCCATAGTAGCTGGGATTACAGGCATATGCCACCATGCCTGGCTAAGGCTAATTTTCCTATTTTCAGTAGAGAGGGATTTTGCCATGTTGGCCAGGCTGGTCTCGAATTCCTAGCTCAGGTGATCTGCTCGCCTCGGCCTCTCAAAGTGCAGGGATTACAGGCATGAGCCACTGCACCCGGCCAGCCCAGTGTTTTTCTCTTTTGTTTTTGGAGACGAGGGTCTTAATATTTTGCCCAAGCTGGGCTCAGACTCTTGATTCTCCTGCCTCAGCCTTCTGAGTAGTTGCAGCTGTAAACACGTGCCACCACATCCAGCTCTCTTCTCTTTCCCAGGAGAATCTGGAGGGAGCCTGTGAATGAATGACTGAGTCAGATCAAACCCCTCCTATGGGTTTGAACAGAGGAGGGAGGAACATGATTTGACTCAGTCCGCTTTCCTAGGGGATGCCAACACCTGGGCAAAGGCTCCCCCCAGGCATGTTGGCTGTTTCCAGAGCTGGGCTGCAGTGGGGCAGGGCAGGGCGGCCTCCTCCAGCCTGACTTGAAGAACAAGCTCAGGACCCTTATGCTTGGCCTGGACTCAGGGGAAAGAGTCCTCAGGGGTGGGCCGAGGACCCCTCCCTGCAGCTACTGGTGGATCCTGAGAAACTGCCCAGACCAAGGGCTCCCAGATGAAGGTGATAGCCCCAGCCACTGAAGTTTAAATTAAAGGCTCCCTTTAATTGTCAGCCTTAAGGCCACTTCCTGGCAGTCATCTATGGGCAGTGGAGCGATGTGTCTGTTGAGTTTCAAGGGACCAGGAGGGGCTCTGAGAGAAGGGGTATGGCTGGTGGACCTTAGATGTGGTCTAGGTTTAGCGTTTCTGCACCATCACTCCTGGGAACCCTTGAAACCTCAGCCAGAGCGTATTAAATGCTGTATCTTATTGTTAACCCTAGGGCCCTACTTTGGGGAAGGCAACTAGACAGGGTGTGTCCTTAAAGGGCGGGGCATGAATAAACACTGCAGTATCTAGAGATGTCTCAGGAAGCAGCTGGAGCAGCAGCCCTGAACCCCAAGTGAGCATGACAGGCACCCACCAGGATGAAATTGAGGGAGAGAACGAGTTGCAGTTTATCTAATTTTTATTTATTTGAGACAGAGTCTCACTCTGTCACCAAGGCTGGCATGTGATGGCACAATCTTGGCTCACTGCAACTTCTGCACCTGCCAAGTAGGTAACTGGAAATTATCTCCACTCACTAGGGGTGCCTTTGCTAATGTGCCCAAGTTCACGGGTGGGTAGTGGTATCCCAGTCCTCCTTTTTTTTTTTTTTTGAGACGGAGTTTCGCTCTTGTTACCCATGCTGGAGTGCAATGGCGCAATCTCGGCTCACCGCAACCTCCGTCTCCCAGGTTCAGGCAATTCTCCTGCCTCAGCCTCCTGAGTAGCTGGGATTACAGGCACGCACCACCATGCCCAGCTAATGTTTTGTATTTTTAGTAGAGACGGGGTTTCACCATGTTGACCAGGATGGTCTTGATCTCTTGACCTCGTGATCCACCCGCCTCGGCCTCCCAAAGGGCTGTGATTACAGGCTTGAGCCACCCCGCCTGGCTTTTTTTTTTTTTTTTTTTTTGAGGCAGAGTTTTACTCTTGTTGCCCTGGCAACCTCCACCTCTTGGGTTCAAGCAATTCTGCTGCCTCAGCCTCCCAAGTAGCTGGGATTACAGGTGCCTGCCACCATGCCTGGCTAATTTTGCATTTTTAATAGTAACAGGGTTTCACTATGTTGATTAGGCTGGTCTTGAACTCAGGTGATCCACCTGCCTTGGCCTTTCAAAGTGCTGGGATTACAGGTCTGAGCCACCGCACGCCCAGCCTCCCCGTCCTCCTTTTTATCCCAGAGAACTGCAGAAGCACCCTTTCGTTCAGTCCCCAGGATTTGAGCACTTCCTGGCTACTAGTTCCTGCTGAGGTCTGGGCCCCAGGGCAACAGGTGTCTGCTCCCACTGGCTCCCCAAGGCAGGGCCCTCGGAGCAATGCTGGATGTGAGTGCAGGCAGGGAGGTTGGGCTGGCTGGCTG